TCAGAGGCAGGTCGTAACACCACTCACGGTCTCGTCTATCAGTATTTCAGAGGCAGGTCGTAACACCACTCACACCATCTTGTGCTTATAAAATTGTATTCTTGTACGAGTTAATTGTATTAAATAAAGACTTAATCTTTTAACTTGCAAACATTAGTATTTCTATTTCTACGTTGATATATGTATCGACGTTGACATAACGGACGCAACAATATTATCAGTATAATATGGCCTAATTGCTCCGATAATATTTATTAGTTCTAAGACAATAACGCCACATATGCATATACGGCGTTATTGCTCCGATTATTTTTATAAATTTTGAATGAAATATAAATACTTCAATTTATGGCTGTATTGCACTAAGCCGCCTTACATACATCCTCAGTACAATAAGTTTCTTTCAATAACTATACATTGTAATCAAATAGGAGGTAGATAGCGCCACTATCAAAAAAATCAGAAAAAAAAAACGAATTCAGGGATATATATATCTCAATAGTCAATTTTTCTGACATGTGGCCTTATTGTACTGGTAGTGCGATATAAGAAGTTAAGCAAACCACAAGAAGAACAAATAGTTAATAACTATGAAAACCATATACGCAGGCGAGATGAATCTTTTTCAGCTAAACAATTTGACGAGGAAAAAGCTTCTAATAATCTAATAACAATAATTTTTGTAGTGCAACCTTTGATCTACAAAGTGTTTTACAAATCCCAAGCTCTGATGTGTCCAGTATGTATTATAGTAGAAAAATATGTACCTATAATTTAACATTGTACGAAGCTGCACCACCAAACCGTGGTTTTTGTTTTTTGTGGACGGAACTAAATGGACAAAAGGGAAGCTCTGAAATTGGTACCGCTGTATTTAAATGGATTTAGCAGCTCTCTGAAAATATAACAGAAATATCCTTGTATTCCGATACATGTAGTGGTCAAAATCGAAACCAGTTTATAGCAGCTTTATTTCTATATATTGTCACCCATTCAAGGATCGAAATTATAACACACAATTTTATGGAAAGCGGACATTCCTGCATGGAAGTAAACAGCATGCATAGCACTATAAAGTCGGCCAAAAAAAATGTTCCAGTGTACACTATGCATGATTGGCTAACCATTTGTCGTCTTGTTCGTTCAAATAGACACAACAAAAAATGTTCCAACTACACAGTGCAAGAACTGAAGTACACAGATTTTTTGGATTTAAAAAGCTTAGCAAATATGATAATAAAAAATCGTTCCTATGATATGCAAGATAATAAAGTAAACTGGTTAAAGATTAAAGTTTTGAAATATGAAAAAAATATGAGGGGTGTAATTCAGTTCAAATATAATTATTTTGATAAGGAGTTTTATATTATACGTATTAGTGTAAAGGGTAGGCCAACAAAGTTTCCTGATAATTTGAAAAACTTGTATGCCAAACCCCTACCAATATCAGAACTTAAAAAAAATGATTTAATGAAATTATGTAAAACTCAAGCTATACCAGAAGAATTCCATGAATGGTATAAAAGTATACCTTCATGTTCCAAAAAGAAAGAGACTGTGATACTATCTGAATCGGAAAATGATTCAAATTAATGACTGAATATTATAAATAGGTGCTGTTAAGTTTATCAAGTAATTAATTTTAATTTACAAAGTGTTTTTTTTTTCATAAAGATATTTTGTATTCATCATTTTATTAAGTTTAATCTTTATTTTCAAATCCTTAACTAATTTGTTATAAAAGTGATATAACATTATTATGTTATTAATTATTTTTGTTTATTTCTAGTTATTTAAAAGATTTATTTTTTGTTTTTTGTTGTGTAATAATAAGGTTGTTATTTTATTTCATAATATGAAAATAATAATAATGTTAAGTTTCTTATGTTAACTATATTGCAACAATAAAGTAAAAATAAAAGTTTGTTGTTTAAATTACGTTTATGTATACAAATTATTGTAATATTAATGCAGTAACTCTCATTTAAAACATGATAAAAAACTAATGACTAAGTGTATTATATTTGTGACTTGGTCACTTTTTAAATGACCAAATAAAACCATAATCACTTGGTCACTTTTTACCATAAAATTAAGTAAGTAATTTATAATTTAGTAACAATAGTAATAATTATTGAGTAAAACTAGTATACTGTAGTGTTAAGTATACTATTGCGGTTTTATTGGTATCAAATTCATAAACATTGGTTAAATTGCCGATTTTTAAATAAGTGCTCAACTTTAAAACTGATATTACTCAAAACTTTAAAAAAAACACTTGGTCACTTTTGGCACGAGGGCGACGTAGTTCTGAAATTCATTGTAAGCTTTGATGTGTATTGTATGGTTTGTAGTTCTCTGTAAAAGCTTCCTTAACTACGTTGTAATACTTATCTGCAGCAGTGATTTGACTGTTTTCAGATGTTTCTAGAGATTCATATTATGGTATATGAGTAACACTAGCTGAGTCGCTCACACTTCTAGATGTATGAGGTGTTTCTACTGAATATGATCTGTGTGCAGTTGCTTGAGATACTAGTTTGTCAACTGATGCTACAGGAGAATAATTGATATAGGAATTTAGAGACAAGATGTTATCAATTGTTTGAAGACATGTATGTTTAAATGTTCGTATTTGATCATCGTTCATTAATTCTAGATCTGGTATCATGCTTAAAAGGAACATTTTGAGTGCTTCAGTTTTTTTTATTTTGTTTAGTATTGCGATCGCGGGATCACGATCAATTTTCGCTTTTTTGGCTTCTAGATATTCAATAAAAGTTTTGTCAACTGCATCATAGTATTTAATTTTTTGTGGAAATATTATAAACACTGTATTTAACGAAGAAATACTAATAAGTATGTTAAATATACCTGAGGAACCACAGAATATAACAATAAATGATTTAAATAAAATTAGATAGGATTATGAGTTCGAATATGGTACGCAACCGACAACCGACCAGAATAATAAAACAAACCGCGTAAATAAAATAAAAAAATTAATTTGAAGTTGGCATATGGATAGTAGGGCTGTTCGATTATTTCGATTAATCGATTATTGCGATTATTATTTTGTTTTACAGTTTTTATAAAATGCGATTAATCGCCAAATAATCGAAATTCGATTAATCAATTAATCGAATTTGCAATTAATCAATTAATCGAATTTCCGATTAATCGTAAAATAATGTAATCATATTTTTAAATTTTTTGTATAATCAAATATTTATGCCGTATCAATAATCGTTGTTCAGACGGTTCGAATGAAATTCTATTTTTAGCACTATGGGAATTTTGTATTCTGTTCCATTTTATGTGTTCGTGTTTACTTTACACTAATATTGCTATCAGTATTCAGTCATTTATATTTCGTTTTCGTAATATTCTATTTCTATTATTCGTATTCCGGTTTCGTCTTTCGTGCATTGTACTGAGTTAAAAATTATTACATTTTCATTATTATTTATTACCTAACTATTATCGATTTCACTCGAAGATGAGCTTAGTGTGGAATGTTTTCACTAAGTCCGAATGTGGATACAGGGCGACTTGTGATATGTGTTTTAAAAGTTTTTCAAACTCGGGTTCAAATACAACAAATTTGTGGAACCACCTCAAAAAATCCCACAAAGGAAAGTATCATGAACTCGATAAACAAAAACGAGGAACTGAAAATTGTGAGCTCGGACCATCCGACAATTCCGACATGTTTGACCTGTAAGTATTTTGTTTACGGTTTACCTACTAAATAGTAAATAATACCTAGCTAATATTCCGCCATTTGTGATAGTACCTATATTAAATACATTTTGATGTAAATTAAGCAATGAATGGTTTCCATGTTAATTATGAAATATTTTTCAATTAAATAGATAGGTGATAGTTTGTACTTTCGTAGTCTATGTATTTGTACTTGTACACTTGTAGCCCATAGGTATGGTGACCAGATATAAATATTTAAAAAAGTAAGTACATTTTAAAACTTAGCTTCTCCTCTGTCGTAATTGCCAATGCATATACCCATTTAGTCCATAATATAGACCATATTATGTCATCTCCTTCTACAAAAATTGTTTTTTTTTTAATTATTATTATTACCTACCTAGGTACTTACTAAAAAACTAATTATTTAAATTATTATGTCAACTCAATAGATGTGTGTCATTATGATTACAATTCTATGAAATTTAAGTAAACTTAAACTAAAGTATAAATATTTTAGTTATTTTTTAAAGGTAAAAATTCCAAGTGTAAAATTTAAATAAATTAATACAAAACTTTGTTGAAATTTAGGAAACATTAACAAACTAAATTAACTATGCCAACAACCAATTAGATTGCATTAGCTCAAACCATAAAAAATAAATTACTACCAAATTATATAAAATTATAATCATGTAGTAACTCATAATATTTTCAAAAAAAGATGACAATTTCATATACTTAACACTATTTTTAATGACACTAGGACTTGCATCAAAAAATCCTATGAAACAATCTTATGAAAAATAGTACTTCTGGTCACCATACCCATAGGTAACTTTAAAAACTAAAAAGTAAAAAGATTAATGCAAATATGCAACCAATGTACTTACACCTTCTTAACCTTCAGTTGTAATATTGTATAATAATAGAATTTCTTTTTAGATTTACCACTTCACAAGATACTAACACTTTAAATGGATCAACTTCATCATCGTGTTCATCACATTCATTACCACTGGCAAATGTTTGTGATGAAGTTGTTAATAGTTCTTCTAATACGATTGAGAAAACAAAACTACATACAAAACAGACTATGATGACATCATTTACTCTGACACCGTCCAATAAACTTAAGCTAGATAAAATTCTTGCATATTTTGTTGCTGTAGATATGATGCCTTATAATATAGTCGAAAAAGAAGGTTTCAAGGCTTATACTCGTGCCTTAAATCCAAGTTATCGTTTGCCTAGTAGGAGTACCCTTACCAACAAAAGAATTCCAGATCTTTATCAAGAAACAAAGTTGATAGTACAAAATATAGTATCAACTACTACATTTTTGTCATTAACTACAGATTGCTGGACATCAGTATGCAATAAGCCTTTTCTGGCACTGACTTGCCATTTTTTGGACAAACAGTTTAATCTAGGTAAATAATAATGATTTCTTAATAATAATTATTTAAAAGTTTACTAGTTTCTAATGCATTGCTTTTATGTTACAGTTTCTATATGCTTGGGATGTCAAGAGCTTTCTGAAAGTCATACGGGAGACAATCTAGCAAGTGCTATTCAGCTACAGTTATTAGAATACAATTGTGATATTGATGCTAGCATTGGAGCTATATCAACAGACTATGGTGCAAATGTACTGAAAGCTGTTGAAAACTTGAAAATACCACATGTTCCTTGTTTTGGACACAGTTTTAACACAGCGGTTAAAAGAATATTTGAGTTGGATGAAGTTAAAGTTTCAATTAATAATGTTAGGGCAATACAAAATATTTTTGCATACAGTTGGAAGGCAGTTAAAGAAATGGCTATAGAACAACAGCGATATGGGCTAAAAACTGTTAAGTTTCCATCTTACTCAAAGACTAGATGGTGGTCTTTATTGGACCTCATAGAAGTAATTTTATCTCAAGAACTTCCTCTTGCTTCATTTTTGAGAACATACAACAAAGGAGCGTTTAAAGATAGAATGATTGATGAACACCAAATTGAAATTTTAAAAACAGTTATTTCAACATTAAGTCCAATTCGCAAAATTTCTGATAATTTAGCAGGCGAGTCTTATGTTACGGCATCAGCCATATTACCTGTAGTTAATATGATACTGAAAAAATTGTTAGGAGTTGATGAACAAGTACTTACTGAAGAAAATAGAGTTTGTTTAGTTTTGAAAAAAAAAATGCTAGAAACAATGATGACTGTATTCACTAATCGTTATGGCAATAATATTATATTAAAAATGTGTACTGCTTTGGACCCAAGATTCAAATTGGATAGAATTGATATCGAACGATTCGAACATACTTCAATTGATTTAGAATCATTCAAGAAAATTCTAAAAGAAGAATGTATACGTACATGGCAATATTCTCTATCAAAATCAGAATCAAGTTTAGAGTCTCCACCAAAAAAATCAAAATCAACTGGACTCTCTGCAATTTTTGACACAAGTTATGATCTACAATCGACAGAATCTACTTATACGGTAAGGAAATTCTATACCTAGTAAAGCAAAATATTAATTTAAGTACACCTATATTAAATTATAGTAATATTATTCTATACTATACTATAATTTATAAACATAGTTATTTTATTCATTTCTACCATAATAATTTTTTAAAAACATACAATTTGTACATATTTGATTTTTTTATTATACACCATTTGTACATTATACTTATACATATAGACTATAACCAGTATAACTTATCTATATTGTATATAGTTTTAATTAAATAACATAAAATACATTTTCATTATTTTAATAGTTATTTTTATGTATATGTATTAGTATTATATTATGTGTGCTGTTTTGTATTCTTTCTATCCAGGAACTATCTATTGGCGATAAAGTAGAAAATGAGATAAATGGATATTTGAATCTACCAAAAATTGACTTTGAACAGAGTCCAGTGACATGGTGGCATCTAAGTGGAACAATGTTTCCATTTTTGAAAGTAATGGCAAATAAATTGATGTGTATACAAGCTACTAGCGTGGCCTCGGAGAGGGTATTTAGTCGTGCAGGTAACATAGTTACTGATCAGAGGGCATCACTTACTGAAGATCATTGTTCTCAACTTATTTATTTATCGATGAACAAAAAATTTGTTCCAAATCCTTTTAATTTTTAAAATATTATTATTGTTATTTGTTTGTTTACACCCAAAAAGACATTGGGTATGTTTTAATTATTATATTATTAATATTATTATAATAAAGATACATTTTATGTTTTATTTGTATAAGTTTTAATTTTTTAAATATAATAAATAACTCAAGCTTTAGCTAAACTTATTATATGATATGGCAATATGTATATAAAAATAATTTTGATAATTTAATAGAATATTTACTATTCTATATTTCTATGTTTAAATTAAAAAAGTCACAGTTAAGATGAAAAAAACAGTCTCATTTATTATGGTTGCCTATTCCTATTTCCTGTCAACAATTATCCTCATACAGCCATAGTAGTATAATTTATGTTGCTAAGTAAATTATTCTTTAGACTTTTAATGGAATAAACAAGCTGTTACATATATAATGAATTATAATCATAATATACTTTATACATTATTACACAACAAAATTTAAAAAAGTACTCACAAATTATTATTATTTATAATTTATATTGTTATAGTTATTGTTTAGTTTTAAAAACTATGACTCAGATGTCAGATTATCCTTAAAATATGTAATGTTCTCAATGAGAACTTCTCATATAATATAGATTAAATATTTAAATCTGTGCTAATATGATATTCTGAGTTCAATGATTTGAAATGTATTAAGAGTAATATTAAAGTAGACGTCTACATGTCATCCTGCAAATCTTGTTTAAAATTTTGTGGAAGTTAAGGAATCAATTTATCCATAATAAAAAAAAATCGATTAATCGGTTTGAATATAAAATTTTCGATTAATCGGTTAATCAGTCATTAAAAAAAATAAATTAATCGGTTTGAATATTAATTTTCGATTAATCGAAATAATCGATTAAAACGTCCAAGTAATAATCGAGTGGTAAAAAAAATAATCGAACAGTCCTAATGGATAGTGAACAAAGAGAGACCATATAGATTACCACACTAACAGATAGAGGAAATAAATAAATAAATAAAACAAATGGAAAACGACAATATTATTGAACCCTCCTTTGATGAAAAGGAATGCACCTTTATTATTAGTTAAAAAGAAACTTAACACGAGTCAAGAAGAAAAATTTAGAACAGTTGTACATTTCCGAGTATTAAATAAAATAATAATAAACGAATATCACCCTTTTAGAACTATTTGTTCAAAAAATGTTGATTCTCCTGTCAGTCGGTGTACACCTGATAAAAGGGGAAGGGCAGAACCTCGCAAAAAAATAACTACTGAAGTTCTTAAATGTGTTATTGATCATATAAATCAACTTCCAGCTTATGAGAGTCATTATTGCAGTCAAGAAACCAGTAAAAAGTATATTACCTCCATATTTCGCGTTGCAACTTGCCTATAATGAATATATTAAAACTGTTAAAAACCCAGTAAGCCGCTCAATATACGTAAAATATTTTAAGTTGTCAGGTCTAAAAGTAAAAAATCCCAAAAAGATACCTGTTCTTGTTGCGACAGGTTAAAAATCCAAATTAAAAATACTAATTGCTCTAATGAACAAAAAACCATACTAACTAATCAACAAACACTACATCACGCTGAAGCTGAAGAAGCTTTTAATTCGAAAAGAAATGATATTTCTACATATACAGAGAATACATGTGTTATTGCTTTTGACCTCCAGCAATGTCTTCCTACTCCATCTCTAGAATCGTCGGTTGTTTTTTATAAAAGATAGTTATGGACATAATTTCACTGTCCATAACACTTTTACCTCAAAAGCTGTATGTTGTGTTTGGAATGAAACATTAGCCAAACGAGGGGCAAATGATATTGGTTCGCCCCTATTTCATTATTTGAAAAGTTTGTCATCAGATATTTCGCATGTCATAATGTATAGCGATTGTTGTCCAGGGCAGAATAAGAATAGCATAATTATAGCCATGTGTATTTATTTTTTAGAGCATCAAGATAAAATAAAAACCATTGATCATAAATTTATGGTGCCTGGGCATATAAAGATGGAATGCGACTCTGACCACACCCGCATTGAAAAAGCTCGTAAACGTTATCCTTTCCCTATAAACCATCTCCACGATTGGGCAAAATTAATAAGTTGGGCAGGAAAAGATAAATTTACAGTCGTTGAAATGAAATAAAATGATTACTTTGATTTTAATAGCCTGTTAAAAAATAAATATCAAATAAAAAAAAAAGATGAAACTGGTAATGCATTTGTTTTTTGTGATGTAAAATGGCTTAGGTACACAAAAGAAAACAGTACTATGGTACAATACAAAAAATCATTAAGAACAGAAGATGATTTTATTTACATGAACATGGCTCGTAAAAATGTAAGAAGTTCTTTATTACCTCAAGCATATATGTACAACACTTGCAATATCTGAAGAGAAAAAAAAAAGATCTTCTTTCTCTATTAAATTTAATACCAGATGTGTATCACGATTTTTACAAAAGCTTAAAATCAAAAACCGATGTCCAAGATCCGATTGTATCTTCTGAAGATGGCAGCTCTGAACCCTAAACTTGGCGATGTATCTTTTAAGATACATCATATAAGAACTATAATTTTATCGTAAATATAAAATATATTATATTGACTATTATATTTTATAATGTCTTTGGATGTCCACTATCATTATTGTTACCAATTTACAGCTTTTCGTGCCATACTTTATCTATTATGCTTTATCTAAAAATGTACTATCAGTTGTTTTAATATTTTTAGCTGCTGACTTATTTTTATCTCATTTAATCCATAGCTTTAAAGCGGTTCTGATTCAAAATAATTATTGAAACTTCTTCAGGTACGTCTATATATTTTATTTTTACTCAAATAAAGTTGATCACTTAGTTATTTATTTAGTTACTTTAGCATAAAATATTGTGTATCCAAAAAGACACTGTGCTTTGTACTCCGAAATGTGTTACTGTATCCAAAAAGACACATGGCTTCCTACTCCAAAATTTGTTATTGTATCTAAAAAGATACATTACTTGCTAGCCCGAAATGTTTTACTGTATCTAAAAAGATACATAGTCTCTTATTCTGAAATTAATGATATTGCCCTATATTACTCGTACTTGTTCTACATATCTAATTCATTTTAAATAGTTCTTCATTATTATTTTCTTAGAGAAATGCATCGTAACGTTTCAAGTAGAACAAAAAAGATGATGATGGCTGTATTATCACCCTTAGATTCAGAAAGTTCTGATAGTGAAGAAGAGTTAGAAGTACCTATTCCAAAAATTGATAACACACATTTATCTGACCCCGATTATGATAGTAATAGTGGTACATCAAGTGCCCCTACAGTTCGGGACCTTGAAGAAATTATAAAAAATGTAGACGATTTACCAATTTACGATGATGCTGGGGTAAATTTAGATACTTATTTTTATCCAGAATAAAATTTTTTACAAAGCAATGACATTTTACCATTAGATTTGTGCCCCATACCTGAAAATGTATGTACATCTGCTGAACCAGTAAATATGTGTAATCAAGATAGTAATAATTTAATTTTATCAAGTACGCCAATATCTATTATATCTCCCAATTCTCATTTGTCCCATAACTCAACAGCATCATCTTCTGGACCTAGAAAGTCAGTTAGATAAGCTGAACGTGTAGATTCGTTTGATTCAGTTCCATCATCCTTTGTACAATCCGTGGAACCTCCGAAAATTATTTCTACTTCTTCAAACAAAAAAAAACAAAAGATGACTTTTAAGTGGTCAAATAATTTCAAGTATCCTGTAGATATTCCTTCTAATGTGTTTAAAAATAAACCAGATAATGTATTGGCTCCTATTGAATATTTTTCTTTATTTTTTAAGCCAGAAATATTTAATATAATTGTAGAAAATACGAATTTGTATGGAAGTCAAAAATCTATACTCATCGACACCGATATAAATGAAATAAAACATTTTATTAGAATACAATTAATCATGGGTATTGTTTCTATGCCAGCATATACAGATTATTGGTCAATAAATTTTAGTTACAATAAGATTACTGATGTGATGAACTTGAAAAGATTTCAATTATTACGCCGAAATTTACATTTTGTAGACAATTCGTTATAAAATACCGAAGATCGTTATTATAAAGTTAGGCCAATTTTGGAACACGTAAGGAAAAATTGTTTGGAAATTGATCAAGGGTCCCAATTTTCTATAGATGAAATGATGATTCCCTATAAAGGGATTAAAGCGGGTACGAGAAGGCAATATATAAAAAATAAGCCGAAAAAATGGGGATTCAAAATGTTTGTCCGATCGGGAATAGATGGTTTTGTGTATGATTTTTTACCTTATGGCGGTGAAAATACATTCCATCGAACATCATTCACAGAATACGAAAATATGTATTTTGGTTTAGGCCAAAAAGTAATTATTGAGTTATGCAAATCTATTCCCAGTAAACCACTTAGTGTAGTATGTTTTGATAACTGGTTTACTTCCTTAGAACTTGTAACATATTTAAGAAAATCATTTGGCATTCTTAGTCTTGGCACAATTCAACAAAACCATTTACGTGGTTGTAATATTATAGCAGATAAACCACTACTAAAAAAAGGAAGAGGAAGCTATGAAACAAAATCTGACAATAAAAATAAAATTTCAGTAGTAAAATGGGCCGATAACAAATGCGTCACTATAGTTAATTCATATATTTCAACATCAGCACCTTCAGAAACTGTTAGTCGATATGATAAAAATAAAAAGGAAAAAGTTAATGTGAAATGCCCAAAAGTAATCAAGGAATACAATTCTCATATGGGTGGTGTAGATCTGGCAGACATGTTCGTTTCATTGTACCGTACAGGTATTAAATCGCACAGGTGGTATCTTGCAATTTTTTCACAGCTTCTAGACATTGGTGTCAATAACGCATGGCTTTTATATAGAAGACATTATTCACAATTGAATAATAACCAACAAGGAATCCTACAACTTAAACATTTCCGATATGAAATCGCAAAATCACTTCTAGCGCAATCAAGTATTGGTCGACCATCAACTAACCTAATATTATCAAAACGTAAACGCAAAGCCATGCCAATAGAGGCCCCACCAAAGAAAGTCGTTTTGATAATATAATAATATAGATCATTTTCCAATTTATAATACCAAAGGACGTTGTACATACTGTACTAAAGGTCAAACGGTTTTTAGTTGTTCTAAGTGTTCATTAAGATTATGCTTAACAAAAGAAAGAAATTGTTTTTATTCATTTCACAAAGCTGAATAATGCATCAATATTGAAGACTTACTTTTTTTATTTAAATATATATACTTTTTTTTGTACTACAAGTTATATCTAAACATTTATATATGTTAATATTGTTTTTTTTTTATATTAAATAAGCTATTAATATTTTATTTAAAAAAATGTGCAAGACAAGCAAAAACTTTATTTTATATTTATTATTAATTGTATTAGTTAATTACTTCAACTTAAAGTGGTTTATATAATAAAAGACTATTGTATTATTATTATGTATAATATTAAATATAATATTGAAAAATAAATAAATGTTATATTAAAGTAAACTTAATTGTATTTAATTATTTTAATTATAACATTTTAAATAATATTGATTTTGAAAAAACGGATTTGACAATAATTATTTAGTGTCAAATTAGCAACGATTAGATAATGTATCTTTAAAGATACAAATAATAAATTAGGTTAAACGAGGCACTGTATCTTTAAAGAGACAAATATCAAACTAGGGTGACTTAGGTACTGTATCCTTGGAGATACAATTATCAAATTAGCATTGATGGAGTAATGTATCCTTAAAGATACAAACAATATTTCAAAAACTGTTAACTGAAAAAAAAAAACGTCAAAAATGAAATCTACGGGTCTTAATTAGTGAAAATGATAATATTACAGAATTTTCATATGTTTTTTTTATTCTTGCCAAGTTTAGGGTTAAACTAGGTATTATTATTAACAATTATAATTTGTATTTTTAAATGTTTAAACTGTAATATTTTACTATTTTTTTTCTTATAAAGTCTTATTTGCTTATAATTTTATTTGTGTAAAAACTATGAAAGTTTGTTATTTATTTTTATTTTTAACTATTAAACCTGAAAAATAAATTAATTAAGTACATTGCTTGCTATAAAAAATTTTGTTCATTTTTATTATACCTACCAATTTAATATCATTAATAAATAATTAATAAAAATGAGTTATTTGTTAATTAATTAATCATTTAGGCTTAGTAAAAAAAAAAAATTAAAAATTCTAAAACTATGATAACACTGGATAAATCAAAATATTATTATATAGGTACTATTTTGAATGGCACATTGGTATCTTTTAAATTTTTTTTTTTTTGCGAAAAAGGGCACAAGTCGTAAAAGTGGTTGTAATATATTCGTGCACATGGGCATAAGTCAATTATAATAATGATTTAAATACTTAAGGTATGTAATACTTAATTATTCAAAGTTTAGATGTTTAAATTACCTATTTGTAAAAAAAAAATCATTCATTTATTGTTTTAAATGGCCAATACACGTTTTTTTACGTCTATTGTAAAATCGTGTTTTCTAACATGAGCCTTTTTGCACAAACACCGTCCATTTGATTCCCATCATCTTTTGATTGTTGCCGAGCTTTAAATGTGCTTTTACACATTTCGATCAATAAAGTTTTAACATACGGCAAATTATCTATATATTCAACTTTAAATCTTGGATCAACAATACTACATAGCATTAATGTTTCATTATTGTTAAAACGTTGATTAAGAACACCAATAACTATTTCATACATTTTTTAATTAAATTATTATTTTGCAAATTGTCGCTTTCGTCATCATCAAAATTAATTTAAGTGACAACATTAGATCTTTCTAGTGCATCCGCCAGTTTGGAATTCAATGATGAGATGATTGGAAATATTGCTAAGCCTGTAACATAGGAATCCGCTGCTAAATTATCGGTAATCTCCCGTATTGGTCGTAACACTGAGCTCAAATTTTTCAATATATCGATTTCATTTTCTCGAAGACATAATTTTTTGAATTCACCATTCTTATATCCACGTAAAAAACTAGTGAGGCTAAGTTCCTGTTCAATTATAGTATTCATTAACTCTAATACAGACCACCAGCGTGTTTTAGAAAATGACGGAAATTTCTTCTGTGGTAAACCAAATTTGACTTGGATTATTTCCATTTCACGTACAGTTTTCCAACTATGGGCAAATATATTATGGATGCCTTTAACTTTTTCAATCACGGTCATCACTTCTTCCATTTTCAAAATCCGCGATACTGCTATATTGAGTGCATGGTCAAAACAGTTGACGTGTGATATTTTCATATTATTAACGGCTTTTATCATGTTAGAACCATGGTCTGTTGTCATTGAGCATATTTTCCATTCTGGAATTTCATAGTCTAAAAGTAACATATGGAGAATATCAGCAATGTTATCTCCCGTGTAATCTTCCGATAACTCAATACAACCCAAACAAGCAGAGCTTAAACTCGAATTTGAATTTATAAAATGACATGGAAGTGCAATGAATGGTTGGTTAGAAGTAGATGTCCAATAATCCGTTGTTAACGATAACAAAATCAACATTTTTATAATATTACCTACATTAGCACGAGTTTCTAAGTATAATTCGGGTATTCTTGATTCAGTCAACGTTTTTCTAGATGGTAATTTATAGCTTGGATTTAAAGCTCTTACAAATGTTTGGAATCCTTCTTTTTCTACTAAGTTATAGGGCATCATACTTGTCGCAATAAAATATGCTAAAGCATTGTCCATCTTATTTTTGTGGCTTTGTTTATAGTAAATTGGCTCATTTTTATTTGTTTAAGACAACTTGTTTCTTGAACTATATTTGCAGAAGCAGAACTACTTGATGATTGTTATGAAAAATGTGAAAATGAATTTAAGGAATCTGAGTTTGAAAAAGATGGAGTTATAATCAAATTATTGTCTTCGTTTAAATCGCTAGAATTAAACCCAAAATGTTGTATATTAATACAAATCACAGAGACATAATATTATATCAATAAGATATATCAATAAAATATAACGAAAATAATTGCTGGGTAAATCAAACATTTAAATGAAATTATAATTAGGAAACAAGATTTTCTAAAAAAATCAAAAAAAGTTGTAGAACCTATACAGTAAAAATGTTATCAGTTAGTTTGTATAAAATTAGTTTGATGAGTAATACTTTCAGATCATAATTTAATATGTAGCGTATTAATTTTATACTATATCAAAAATTCAAAACTATTCACAACAAATACTAAACATAACTATAAATAGTAAATGAACAAATGTGTTTAGAAATGTAATATTTGGTTTAAACATGTTCAAAAATAGTAATGAATATAAATATTTATAAGTAGGGCTTGGATTTATATGTATTAAAAAAATCAAAATATGTAAATATATAATTGTATCTATTATATATATTTGTTATTACATATTATGTAATATAAAATCGCTTTATATATGTATGATAAAAAAAATTAAAATATGAAAAATATAAAATTAAAAAAAAAAAATTCCTGAAAAAATTGTTTTATAAATGACAAAAAATGTAAAATATGTAAAATAAAATATTGTTAATTTTATTGGAAATTGCTTGAAACGAATTAATCACTTACCTAAATTAATTTATCAAGTCATAGTAAAAATATGTATTTACATATAAATTATAAATCCAAGTCCTATTTATAAGTATTTAAGTAATGTAGAAAAAATTAACACTCCATAGTCCATATTACATATATTTTACACGGTAAATTTTTAACTCGAGGTTGAATTAAAATTACATTAGGTGTACGGGCCGGGAGCATCTAATAATAAGTATGCGCGCCCGGTCACCAAATATTATTACGCTATTATACGGTCACACACCGACCGACCTGTGTATGTGTGTAATGTGTATATATGTGTATAGCACTCAACAGGAAGTGGACAAGTTCGCCGAGCAAATCCTGTGTGTGCTAGTGTGTGGGTGGTGCGTGTCTGTGTGTATATATGTTTGTGTGTATGACTTAAAAAATAAGGACAATCAGGTAACTCTGTTACGGTAGATGAAAAAATATATATAGTAGAATATAAAATAATAATATATTAAATAAATTACGGCCCTATTGGCCCAACAGGTGAAAATGTAGTAAAAGAACAGCTATTAGAGCCAGACAACAAAATGTAATATAATAATATAAAGTGGCTATTAGAGCTTTAATAATATAATAATAATAAATATTAAAAACGGATAGCTATTAGAGCTATAATAAAATAATAATAATAATAATAATTAGCCATTTTGGCTCAATTATAAATATAAATATATAATAAATAGATAATAACAAAAACTCACAGTTTGTCGGCGCACTGCTGGCCAGCTGCTACCTAGCTATATAAATGGTAATTAATACACAGACACAGAAAATACAAAATAGAAATACATAAAAAAGAAAGATAAAAAAATGTTCAAATAAATATAAACATTGGCTATTCGAGCACAAACAAAATAAATAAAACAAAATTGCGATTTTCGCACACAATATAAATATAAAAGTTAGTGGCGATTCGCGCACACAAAATATAATAATATAACAATAAAAATATTGCGATTAGCGCCCACGCAATATAATAAAATAATACTAGAAAATAAGCGATTTTCGCAACAAAATATGATAATTCAAAAATAATATAATATAAAAACCGCCGTTTGGTCTTTATGCAATGACGTACGACATAAGACAAAGATTTACGGCGGCTGTGTTACCTGCACGGCACGCAACGGCGAGCAGGCGGCGGCAGATAGCATACCGATACGTATTTTGCATAATATTATATAATTCACAGATAACACAATTAAATATAAAAATAAAATTTATAAAGAAAAATATGTTTATGTGTGTGTGTGTGGATCGGTCGGTGGCGGCAATATATATATATAATAATAATAACGATGCTATGTTGCGGCGGCAACATTAGGTATTATAGTTTTATAAGTTTATATTAAAAATTATTTTGTAATATTACAAATTAAAATATAAATATTGAACTTACTCAAAATCATTGAAACT